CTTCATTTACAACGGTCAAACATTGGGTGGCCGAGTACAAACGTGGTCGTACGAGCATTTTAGACGAGAAACGTTCCGGGCGCCCGAAAATTGCTACAACTGACGAAATGATCAATTTTGTGCATCAAACTGTGATGGAAGATCGTCGATTGTCTGTTAAGGATATTGCTGAGGCTTGTGGGATATCATTTAATCTCAGGTTTATGGTGATAAAAATGTGATAAAGATGCTTGTGGGATATCATCTTTACCACCATACGCCTGAGTCCAAACAACAGTCAAAGCAGTGGTGTGCGGTGGGGGAACCAACTCCGAAGAAGGCAAAGGTCGTTCTCTCTGCAGGAAAAATGATGGCGACAGTTTTTTGGGATTGCCGTGGAATAATTCTTATCAATTACCTTGCAAAGGGTGAAACAATCAACGGACAGTACTACGCTGCATTGCTGGATAAATTGAAGGCCACAATTAAGAAAATCGTCCGCATTTGGCCAAGAAAAAAATCCTGTTTCACCAGAATAATACTCGGGTTCACACGTGCATGGTCGCAATGTCAAAATTGAACGAATTGAATTTTGAATTGCTTCCGCACCCACCCTACTCGCCAGATCTAGCTCTCAGCGACTTTTTCCTGTTTCCAAATTTGAAAAAATTTCTCGGGGGAAAAAAATATAAGTCAAATGCTGAGGTGGAAAACGCTGTAAATCAATATTTTTCAGGTTTAGACAATCAATTTTTTTTGACAGTTTAAAAGGATGGGAGAAACGTTGGACCAAATGTATCGAGTTGCAAGGAGACGACTCGAGAAATAAATTTTGTTTTGCTTCAAAATATGTGTTTTTCTTAAAAAGGCCGGAAACTTTTCAAATGACCCTCGTATATATTGTGACGTGACGTTTTTTTTGATTGTCCGTCACAAGGGTCGCAACACCCGACCGAAGAAGCGCGGTTTCGGATCCTGCGTCCTCCCCGATTTAGGGAAGCGAGCGTATCCGCGCGCATTGCGTTTTCGATCTTATTGCCGCGCGCGTTATGTAACTTTTTCTTTCCTCGTGAGCGTAACCGTAGGAATAGATCGGCGACATAAGGAAATCGTCTACACCAAGCAGCGAGAGGGAGAGAGACATCGGCCTCGGAACGTCTGGCTCATCGCGGGAAAAACGGAGCACGCAGGTCAGACCATATAGTTCCTACGAACGTTATCTCCATGTTCTCTATTACGAGCTCGTTACTGTCGCCGACTAATTTCAGCAATCCGAGAGTAAATACGGAGGCAATGGACTCTCACGATCTGGCCAGGATCGGGTTGCCGACGGCGAATTGTATGGAAGCGAGACGAACGAGCAGGGTCGACGCCAGGACTTGATGAGGGACACAAGCCTAATTTAAAGTCCGCGCTACCGGCTGCGAGCCAGCTGATCACGTGCGACACCGCGATTCGCGGGCGTCGCGCTCGCAGGGCAAGGGCCAATCGGCGCACTATCAGCCGATCGCGTGACACCCTGCTGCTTGCGTGCTGCTGGAAGGACCGTCGAGCGACACTTGTGCTGTGGTCGCGCGTGGGACAGGACGCAGGATCCCGTGTAGTTGCCGAGTGCGAAAAACTTGAAGAGAGAACATCCTCCGTAACTGCCGCTTTTGGTGAGACGAACGTTAGCGATTACAATTGTCAGCCGCCGGTTTCA